GTGGTTTGTCGACACCCAGGGTCGCGACATCTTTCACGTGGCTGTATTGTACCGTCAAGAAGAGGTTTTCAACATCATGTACCAAATGAGCGCCGCCAAAACCTTGGCCGCTGCCTTTGTTAACCCGACCACCGGAGATAACTTGCTTCATATGGCCGGCAAGTTAGGGGCCACGGACAAAATCACTGGCGCTGCTCTCCAACTTCAGCGGGAACTTCAATGGTTCAATGTAAGGATTAATTAGACGGACTTGTTCACTTTCATTTTTCGTTTTTTTTAGTTTTCATGTTATAAATTTGGCAATCGAAACGAGAAAACTTGTTTACTTTTCATTCTGTTTTCTATTCGTTTCCAACTGTGAAAACCGGAAGTGACAACTTCCTATTGTTTTCGAAAACGACAAAATGTTGTTTTCACCATCTATTTTCTCAAAAACAGGAAACATAAATGATAGTAAACATGCCTTTAGTGTTTTATATCATTGGGGTTATGATTCGCTCGTCAAGATTCTATATGTATGTACCCTTGTCAATTGTATGTTAAGTTACTGAGATTCAACCTTATGTACGCTAATTTGTCAAATTCTTACCATTATTATTTTTTTTTATAATGGTGAAATCAATTAATAAAGAAACCAGAAAGAAGAACACAGAGCAAACTAAAAAAGAAAGCGAGGCAAGCCACAGCAAGACAAGCTGGCCACCGAGACCAAGCCCCAACCTAACGAGCTACGGAGAAGGCCACCCAACACCCAACATCAAGATCCGCAAGCCCAAAGTAACCCAAAGAAAGCCGCAAGCCCAAACTAACAAGAGGGGAGCGGCCACACCAACACTGCAGCAGACATTGCAAAACCAAAACAAAACCAGAACCAAGAGCAGACGCAAAACCCAGAAAACCAAAAAACAGAGACTCCCCCCCCGCCCCCAACAGCTCGCGACACAGCCCCAAGCCTCCACCAAGACTCAGAGAAAACAAAACAAGAGCGGCGGCGCAGAGTCGAAGAGCCCCGCCGAGTCCAGAACGGCACCCAGCACACCAAAAACACCCAAGTGTTATGCATCGACTGATCTTGGTAGGATTCTATTCTTCATGGTACGCAGCCAATTTTCAGCAACCAACCTGTCGACCTTTTTGTGTGCGCATAACCAGTCCACCATGCTTCGACCGATTCTGACGCAGGTGACAAAGACTGTCTCCTTATTATCACTGAAAACTCTGTTGTTCCGCTCAAGCCAAATGCGCCAGCAAAGAGCATGGATGAAGACTCTCGAACACCACTCGTGCGGACAGGCTGGTGATTTTCTGCTCCAATTCCTCAGAACAGAAGAGATATTCGAGCCTAGAGCCGCAGGAAGCTTCACAAAACACCTCATGATTTGCCACACGCTGAGCGAGTACCTACAGGACAACGGTCTCCTCCTTCTCGCAGCACATGGCGCACCGGTTTGGCAGCAACCACCCACGCTTCTTGAGATTATCCTGAGTCAGAACCTTGTTGTGGTAAACCAGCAATAGGAACACGCAGACTTTGGAGGGAGCAGCCTGCAGCCAAACAACCTCTGAGGGGAACTCGGAACCCAAGTTGAAGTGCTCCTTGAACAAATTCTCGTACATAGACTTAACTTGAAAGCCGGTACTCGGGGACGGCTCCCAAGTAATTCTCGCAGGCCCTGCAGAAAACAAACTCAAGGGAACAGAATGCAACAGATTAAAAAGCTCAATTCTCTCACCCTCAGCCCCACCCCGAAGACTATGACGGAGATTTAACTCCCAAGAAAGAGGCTCATCCTCATAATGAAGGACTTCAGCGACCTGGCAGCAGGGCGACTCGGCAGCAGCGAACACCCTCGGAAAGCTCTCAGCCAGCGGAGGTCGACCCTTGATCCAGACATCGAACCAAAAAGAGGCCCACGCACCTCCCCCAGGCTCCACCCACGCGAACTTCCAGAAATCCTTCGAAGTTTTCAAAATTTGAGACCAGGGGCTGCACCCCACGGGGGTCTTCATCTCCCCCGAAATCCACTCCGAAGCTGAGTGTGGGTACTTTATGCTAATTAGATCCCTCCACCACTCATCCCTTTCACGAGCAAACTTCCACAGCCATTTAGCCAGCATTGCAGTGTTACAAATCCTAAGATCAAGGATACCAAGACCCCCGAACTTCTTTGGCGCCTTGCATGAATCCCAAGCCATTATTAATGCTAACGAATAGGCGCTAGCTGTTTAATGTATTTTTTTTCTCTCTCAGGAAGTTGAGAAGATAGTCCAACCCTCTTTCAGAGAAATGAATAATAATGAGCTTGATACCCCAAGCGAGATATTTACAGAGCACCATGAAACCCTGATCGAGCAAGGAGAGAAATGGATGAAGGACACAGCTAACTCGTGCTCCCTCGTGACGGCACTTGTAGTGACGGTAGCTTTCGCGGCGGCTTTCACTCTGCCTGGGGGTCAGAAAGACGACGGGACACCGAATTACCTAAAAGAACCGTCTCTCATGGTGTTCTTGGCAGCGGACACTCTAGCGCTCTTCTCGTCGTCGACTTCGCTCCTCATGTTCTTGGGGATCCTAACCTCCAGATATTCGGAGAAGGATTTCTTGAGGTCGTTGCCCATGAAGATGGGGATCGGGCTCTTGACATTGTTTCTGTCTATAGCGGCGATGTTGATTGCTTTTGGTGCGTCGTTGCACCTCGTTCTGTACCACAACGTGAACTGGATAATGGTTCCGATCGGTCTCGTGGCATCCGTGCCGTCACTTCTGTTTGCGTTTTTGCAGTTGCCTCTCTTGGTTGAGTTGCTCTTCTCCACGTTTGGGCCTAGCATCTTTGGCAAGCAGAGTGATGAAATCATCATGTGAGATATATATATGTGCGTTTCTTCTGCTGTTGCTGTGTTTCTACCGCGCGCTTCCTTTCCTACAGCTGCTGGATGGTTCATGTATTCTACTTTTTTCTCTCTATATATTGAGTGATTTTTGTGTGTATTGTTTAGTAAAATCATTCGCCATTAATATAAAAGAACTATGTAACTACTATTGTCAACCTTCTTCATATGTATGGTTACCTTAATCATCAATTTATATCTATTGCTTTAAGTGAATGCTACGTACATTTTGGAACATTATGTGTGCCATTATTACTTTCTTAATTTGGATTCACTTGAGTGCTTTCCAGTATGGTTTATGGTTTGTTTCTAAAGGTGACAAATGGATCAACAAAAGCTCATCATCACCTTGAGTACATAGATAGACTGCTGAATGAAACCATCCAGCTGCTATATGCCTATGGACAACGCTTTATTACAACTAGAGAAAATCAAACCACACTCAACTACCTCCTTAGCATATGGCATGATTATACATGCACCATATTGTTATTATTACGATGGACGAATTAAGTAGTTGCTTAAATTCCAAACGAACTTGATTAGCTGGGGGAGTCACTCGATTAGGCGGCGCAGACAGTAGGGTTGGCCAAGAGGTAGTCTTGCACAGCCTTGTAGACGCCCTGAGTCTGCTGTCCGATGCTCTCGATCAAAACCTTGTCGGCCTCTCCCTTGGTATGGTAATGGTTGATTGCCTTGACCACGCAGCCATCGCCAGCAGCATCAATCTTCACCTCATTCACCACCGACTCAACGTTGTCGCTCAACGCGCCACCTTCGATCAACGTGTACTTGCTGTAAAAGCTGGCCGGGTCCTTGGCCTCCACTCTGTGCTTCACCACCTTCACTTGATTCCCTATAGATATCAAAATTCGGTTAAAAAATGTCGTGCAACGGTATAAACTTGCACCAACTGCTGCTGATCAAGCAAATTAAATGTGTATATGAATGAAGGGTTACATACCTTCGTCGGCGAAGCAAGTCTGGAGGATGCTACCAACGCCACCATCGCCCTGAACGATCTCGCTCTTGTATTGAGGCATGAAGTTGGGGAAGACGGTAGGGGAGTCTTGGATGATGGCTTTGTACATCCTTGGGGCTGGGATGGAGGACTTGAACTCGTGGGTTGCTGTGGTAACTCCCATTTTGTTTTGAACTAATGGATTAGCTAGCTAGGGTTTGGATGTTTTAGAAGGGGATTAACGAGTAATATCTAGCTAGAGGGATTGATGAGGATGCAAAGAGCTATAGGGTTGATTGGCTGGTATTTATAGTCTAATGCAGAAGGGACTGTTTGATTGATTAGCTCTTCCCCAAAATTTCAAGGGCTATATCTTGTAAATGAAGACTAAATGTTTGAGCGGCATCCCTTTGTTGAAAACGACTACATTGATCATCTTTAGCACCATCTAGAATTCCTGGACTAGCTCCAAAGGTCAATGTGACATCAATATTGACTGACAGCTGTTTGGACCAATTGGCAATTACTACCCTGGTCCCTGGCTAGGTAAAATGCTATATGTGTATACTCAATTTCCTTTCTCAGGGGCCATCTTTTTTTAATTGAATGCCGTTAATATGTAAATATGAGTTCAAATATATGATTTAAAAAGTCAACCTGATCGGTATTTAGTTTATTTATTGATTATATCGCTCCACACGTTGAATGTGGCTCATTAAATTATTATTTTCATAAATAACGTACTTTTGTCGATTCAATTATATATGATCCAAGTCGCTAATTTTGACACCTCGATTTTAGTTATACGATCTGCTCAAACAAGCAATCCGTCTGCGGCGAAAGTGGAATTCCTGCAAGTACATTCACGTGACCTGTTTGAACTACGTACAAGCAAGTAATTAATCTCACATTTCTACTTTGCCATGAGGAATTTTACAATGCTATATAGTATTTGTGCTATAGGTTTTTGCTTTTATGGTATAACTTGAAATTGTACCTTTAACGTTATGGTACAACTTCAAATTGTACCTATACATTTTGTACAAATTCTTTTATGGTACAACTTGAACTTGTACCTTTATTTGATGGTACAACTTAAAGTTGTAAAGTTGTACCATAATATAATGATACAAATTCAATTATGGTACAACCTAAACTTATACATTTAATATTATGGTACAACTTTAAGTTGTACATTAAAACACCGATGCTATATAGCATAGTAGAAGTGCTCCTTTGGCATGCGAATACAAAAAAACATATCTAGTTAGTAGGGTCGGTCCAAAAATTTAATGCTCATATATATTTGGTCTTGGATTTCGAGTTAGTCCAAGGATTCTAGATTGGTGGTCATTTTCAACATTAATATTTTAAATATCTAATGATCTAATTAAGTTCGACAGACCTTTTCCCATTTTAGCAAATCAAGTGATCAAGACCATTAGCATAGCTGGTGAACTCCACTTGTATCCGGTGGCGTAACAAAGATTTCGGCTACTATGAGTTCAAATTGGAAAAAAACTGTAGATACCGGTTGTTTAGAGATCTGTGGGTCCAACACATATCTTCACGGTTGGGATCAAAGATGAGTTAGAGATTTGTGTTGGAGAGGTAGAGATTTATTTTAATTTATGTAAAAATTTATAGCGTATTATATACATTAGAATGTCTGCTTATATGAGCACGTCTATGATGCACCATAAGCATTACAAATGGTGTAAAGATTTTTAAATATATAAAATTAATTTCTTAATGGTAAACATCCATTTATACCATTAATGGAATATTTTTTAATTCTTACAAATGATTTCATCACCATTTATAAATGATAATTATATATTCTATGCACCCGAAATTTGACATATATCATAGATGCCTCCTCATCTATATTTAAGATAATTTGTAATTGATTGATAAATACGTGACATGATAATGATGAGGTTAGCATGCAAATCCAATTTTGCCATATTATTTCTTATAATTCCTCAAATTCTATACCAAAACTAAAGTGTACCCCGATCCAAGATCTCGAAACCAACCTCTCTCCCCTTCGGCTACGAGAACTTCACCTTCTGGAAATCAGGGATGGTAAATAAGAGGTCATAATAGTCAATTTAAATTAACATTTTTTTATTCTAGAAACTTCTCATTGTGTCGTTCAAAAAGTGATTTAATTTGCATTATCTTGGAAAATATACCTAAACGACTTGGAATTTAAACTAGCAAATGAATCGATGGTTCAAAGTCGACTCTGTATATTGACTGCAATTTTTCCCGCTTGGCAGTTTATTGTCGGAATTTTTAATCGCTTGAATTAGGTCAGCCATGAATTCTAGGCATATTAAATTTTATCAACGACTATATATATGAGTTAAGGATGGAACACTAAATGTTTTAGATATTTGTTTTTTCATCACTATCACGTCACTATCGAGTTAATAGAAACTTATGATTAAAAACCGACGTAAAGTTCTCTTAATGCAAAATATTATCTCCTTTTAGTTGAATAACTAGATAAACCATATAGTCAAACCGTTTATATATTGATCATCCAAAACTCTTCACCTTGAGTACATGAAAGACGAATGAAACCAACACTTTATTACACGATCGAAAAGCACAACCAAGCACTACGATTAGAGTAACAAATAACCACACACTCCACAATTATGACCACAAAATTAAACAACCACACATGCAACTACTTCCTCAACATATGGTATACACCCTCCATATTCTTATTTTTTTTATTATGGATTAAGTAGTTGCTTAAACACTCCACGCGAAACTTGATCAGTTGATCAGAATAACTCGATTAAACGCAGACGGTGGGGTTGGCCAAGAGGTAGTCCTGAACAGCCTTATAGACGCCCAGAGTTTGCTGTCCAATGCTCTCAATGAAAGCCTTGTCAGCCTCTCCCTTGGTATGGTAATGGTTGATCGCCTTGACGACGCACCCATCGCCGGCCGGCTCAATCTTCACCTCGTTCACCACCGACTCCACGTTGTCGCTCAACGCGCCGCCTTCGATCAAGGTGTACTTGCTGTAGAAGTTGGCCGGGTCCTTGGCCTCCACCCTGTGCTTCACAACCTTCACTTGGTTCCCTGCACATCACCATCAACCCCAAGCTTATACATTAAAATTTGTAAAAAATTAAGAAAGATGTCAGTATGGACTTGCACCAACGTTTCAGATGGAAGGATATATACCTTCATCGGCGAAGCAAGTCTGGAGGATGCTGCCGACGCCGCCATCGCCGTGGACGATCTCGCTCTTGTATTGTGGCATGAACTTGGGGAAGACGGTGGGAGAGTCTTGGATGATGGCCTTGTACATCCTTGAGGCTGGGATGGAGGACTTGAACTCGTGGGTTGCTGTGGTAACTCCCATTTTTTGTTGCTTTAGAAGATGATTGAGAAGAAGAAGAAGAAGAAGCAGTAGTAGTTTGTTTAGCTAGGTTGGGTTGATGGTGAAGAGAGTGGGTTATGGCAGTGGGAATTTATAGGAGAAGGAAAGGTGGTCGAGATGACGAAGAGATCAACAACGGATTTGCTTGTTTATGCGGAAAATGGTCGTGCAAGTCTTTAGTCGGTGATTATGACCTTAAGCGCATCCAATTTTGAATATCCGCAACGTCATCTAGAATACGTGGACTGTCTGGATTTAATGTTTAGAATATTAGTATATGGCCTTATATTTCTTGCTTTCTCCTAGATTGGAAAGACCGCGATTCATATATGAATATGAACACGTTTGTAGGGCGCGCTAGTGATATCATAACAATAATATATAGTGGTTTGGTCCAAATTTTGTCGCGATAGTAAAAGTAGTTACAGTTTCGGTTTGTTTGAACCGCGTTAAAATGCTTCGAGTTATCGAGTCTATTACATGTTCTAAGTTTTAGATAATATGAGATTTCGTTATTCCTGAATATGAAGTTTCATACTAAATAATTAGAAACGTAAATCTATATATCATTTATTCTTTGTTTTGTTGTGTACAACCATCAATAAACATGTAGTACTATCTGCATGGTTTTATAAGTTTACAACCATTAATAAACATGTAGTACTATCTGCATGGTTTTATAAGTTTATTACTTTTCACTCTGTTTCGTCGACCTTCTAATTTGAGGCAACAACGATTTTAATGTACTACTACATGAAATTTTTAATCGGATATGAACATGATGTTAATATACTACATGAATCTTGTATATGTATAGACATAAATAGGTGATGAATTTCACTATCCCACCTCGAACCGATGGACATTCATCCCTAACATATGTACAGTATTGTTCTTCTATTTCTCACAAACAATAAAATATTATCTCTTCAAATTTTCGATTGACCAAACAAACATATTCCATTATGAAGCTTTGAATTCCAATTTTGACTAACTAAGAAATAGTGAATGGTTCAAGTTTTTCTAAATTAGAATTATCTTATACCAGTGTTTTCATTCGCTTTTAAAAAAAGAGCTTATATGTTTTTTTTTAATTTAGAAATGAATTCATTGTAGACAATAAACTTTGACAATCATAAATATCCGACAATGAGCACTTCTACTATGCTATATAGTATTGGTGCTTTAATGTACAAGTTAAAGTTGTACCATAATATTAAATGTATAAGTTTAGGTTGTACCATAAAGCAATTTGTACCATTATGTTATGGTACAACTTTACAACTTGAAGTTGTACCATCACATAAAGGTACAAGTTCAAGTTGTACCATAAAAGAATTTGTACAAAAAGTATAGGTACAATCTGAAGTTATACCATAACATAAACGTACAATTTTAAGTTGTACCATAAAGGCAAAATCCTATAGCACCAATACTATATAGCATTGTAAAATTTCTCATCCGACAATTACATAAAAGTAGTGTAGATGAACTAGGGATGGCAAATTACCCACCCATGGGTAATTATATCCAAACCCAAGTAGACCCATTGATAATGGGTTGGGTATGGGTGAAGTGCATATGGATTTGGGGTTTATAGATGGGTTTGGGTTTGGAGCTTCCATAATCTAAATGGGTATGGGTTGGATATGGATATCCATTTACTTGAGGGTGTTTTAACTACACATGCAAAAATTGGACCTATTTGCAAAACTTGAAAAGTTTAGGTACCAAAATGTAAGACCAAAAAAATTTATGTACCAAAACGTAATTTTCCATCGATATTTTGAGGACTTATATGCAAAAAAAAATTAAATTTAGGTACTAAAAATGCATGTCTATTAAGTTTGGGTACCAAACTGTAATTTGTATTTGGGCATGGGTACAAACCCAAATCCATTTGATATAAACCCAACTCAACCCAAAGTAAATGGGTATGGGTACAAACCCATCAAACTCTATCCATATCCATCTATTTGGATTTCATACCCAACCCAATTGGGTTGGATAGTAAGAAACCCATGGGTATGAGCAAAGTTGTCATCCCTAAGATGAACAAATAAACTTGTCGTGTCGGTGGCGATCATAAGCATAACACACATATTCCAACTGGTAAGGTAGTCTTCAGCCCATCATTATTCTAAATTGAAACCTACGCCTTTACCGATCTTACCACTCTATGCGATATATGGTTACTGAATTTTTTTTTTTTTAGGGATAAGCTTAAATCAGTACTTCTGAAATCATGTCTGGTTAATAGTGGGATGTCGACTTAGAGATAAGATTCGCTTAATTAGCTACAGCCAGGTGTTATGTCAAACCACTTTTTGTTAACCGAAAGCATGAATGTATAGGTCACAATCAAACAGAAGCTCCATTCTTTTCGAGGGAGACACATACGCAGATTTTAGTAATTTGATGACATTTGTTCATTAAAGGTATCAATATATGGGTTCGTTTGGATTGAGTATTTGGGGTGTTATTTGAGGTCAAATAACACAAAATCTGTTATTTAACCCCAAATAACATGTTTGGCTGACAAAAAGTGGGATGTGTTATTTGGATGTAGTGTTTTGCCAAATAACAGGTTTGAGACCAAATAACACAAAAAGTGTTGTTTGCCAAATACTTGGGAGGGGGCAGGTATTTCCCAAATAACAAGTTTGAGACCAAATATCACATACCAAATAACAAGTTTTATATTATGTGGTATTTGTGTGGTAATTGGCCCCAAACAACAAGTTTATCAAATACTCAATCCAAACAACCCCTATATGTTTTTTTTAAGTATACCGATATGGATATTTTATTTTATTAGAAAATAAAGAGAAAGAGAACGTGAAGAACATATTCAAATCAATAATTTTGGTTTTGGTGATTATTTGATGGGATAGTTACAAATTACAATGCATGTATTGTTCACAATGCATTGTTTTTTTTGAATTTTCGGCACAAACAATACATTGCATTGTTTGTTTGATGTGACACAAACTATCACTTAAAATGAGTGATAGTTAAATCCCAAGTTCTTGGTAAGATTGTTGAGATTGTTTGGTGGAGATTCTTGGGTTATTTTTTTCTTCCAACTATGTTCCTACCTTTTTATGTGTTTACTTTTTAATATTAAAAACAAAGGATAATATTGATATTTCACCCAAAAAGTAATATAACTTGTTTAAATACTACAATAACTATCATAGGAACCAAACGATGTAAACTACAATACACCAATTTTCTTATATACATGCATTGATGACAATGCATCAATTTAACTATCCCCAAAACCAAACGACCCCTTAGGATATGTCATCTTAAACAAAAGACTTCTCACAAACTTGAAGTTTGTACATAAATAACATGTGCTTAAAAAATGAGGTCGTTGGGTATTTGAAAACAAAACCTCTCGATCATCTAAAAAAATTATAAGATTAATATATATATGGAGAGAGTGCTCCGTGTCGACTAGTCATGATCAAATGATATAAAATAAAACTATGTCTATGTTCGTACTTGTTCTTTTATTTTAAACACGAGTTTGTATCTTGTTATTAAAACTTACTACGTGGACTCCAAATGTCCCGCAGTTTGTATGAACTCAAAGAAGTGTGTTCTTTGAGAGTATCAATTTTAAGTTTTTTTAAGGCGTGAACAAGAGTTTGATCTAATAAGTAGTATCTAACAACAAAATTAAACATATATCACTCTTATTTAGCAAAAATTTATGTTGAAATAAAAAATTAAACATATATCACCAGTAGTTTTATGGTACTTTTACCCAATACCCTTCACCCTTATAATCACTGCTAACCCGTCCACTGGTAAAGAATCCATTCTAGTGTGACAAACTACCCAATCAGCAAGTAATTTAAACCATTAAGGAACAAATTTAACTTTGATCCACGGTGATGAATGGAACATAGGGATCATACGTGCAATGGTCGCTCTACACTACCAAGGCAAGCGGGAGGGATCTTGTTGCGCAGATATCGAGAGAACCTGCCAATCCGTCCGAATAATATAATAGTAGGAATTCTCTCTTGAGTTGCAATCAAGATTCAAGATATCATTGAGGAGTACTCCAAAGACTTCCGCTTGACTAGGATGGGAACAAAGTAGAGACTAAGCTATGTCGTCGTACACTCAACCATGAGCATTAGCAATAGCAAGCCTATACGCCTTCTTTGAAAAATATGAGACAAAGGATCTGTCACGTTTCATCAATCATCTGGAAGAAGTAGACGGTGGTCAAGAGTTAGAACGAGAACCCCTAAGATGAGAGGTAGATTGTGTCGAATGCTGATGATGAGAAGATGATATTATTGTGCGTCCGTGCTTCCTCAATCAATATATTTGATGTCACGACCAAACACAATTTCAGTTGTTGAGTCTGGGGTAGGAGCCTTATCTTCGAAATGAAAGCATTACAAGAGCAGAAAATGATCCAAATATAGCACACAATCTTTTCGAATATGAACATATGTTTGTTACTATGGAGTGTTAGTAGTATAGTAACAAAAGTGTAATTTTGTTGTTTCTGGGTAGTTTCTTGTAATAATAGTTTTTATAGGTACTAGATGATAATTTGGCTAACAATATATAAAGGTTGTACTGAAACTCAACGTTTTGTCTATAAAATTCATTTTTCTCACCTCTGTACGAAATCTCACATGGAGGTCGAAAAACCAAGACATGAAACTAGCATCTTGGGGGTGGAAGACAGTGGAGGCCCGAGATGTCCCAAGTGGTCAAAGCGTGTTGGCAATAGAAGTGACAATGCATCACTGATTTTGTCGGTGCATAACAAATAAGACACTTCGGGTTGTAAGATCATTTTACACGAGAACAAACGCTCTGTTTAGAGAATTGCTTTCTTCGAACACTTCCAAAGAAAGAAGCCAATTTGGGAGTGAGGTAGAGAGCTAATCTCCATGAGGCCATAACAATGTCTAGTCATTTCGATATGGTTTATTGTTCTCTTGTGGTGAAAGAACCGAACAGCTGACCTTATTAACCCAGCCCAAACCCAAACCCAAACCCATGCCCAAGCCCACTATTAGCCCGAAAGTGACTCTAGCTAAAGTGCACCGTTTGGTATTCCTAAATCCTTACAATGACAACAGATTCTCCATCACAGGAAAGAAACGGTTCCGAACCGGATTCGGGTTGCTTGGCGCCCAAGGAAATCCACCGGGCTTTCATTAAAGCTTCTTCTTTCTCCTTTTTCATTCCTGCAATTCATCCCCTTCTTAGGTTTTCTTCACCTCTTTCGTTGTTTAATTCGCAATTCGCAGTCATGCCGAACGAGCCTTCTGTGAAAACCCTCGTCTCCGAGAAATTGATGTCCTTCTTGCGATTCTCTCACCCTCTGGTGGTCCAGTACACCGCCGCGATCTCCCAAAACGCGAATTCTCCTGAAGAGATTGTCGACAAGCTGCTCGAATATGGGGTCGACGGAGGCGATGCCATTCGCTCGCTTGCCGCCGATCTCTTTCTCAGCGTTTCTCGTAAGGCCGCTGCGCAGGGATCAAATTCGCGTCGCGATGAGGTGAAGAAAAATGAAATTTTGGCCAGGAAGCAGAGGCAGTACCGCTTAATCGTGGCGGAGAGCGATGAAGATAAAGATCACGATTCCGGCACCGGCGTAGCTTATTCCTCGAACTTTGCAACCGGTGTCGTCGTCGGCGAAGATAATAATAAGAAGAAGAGAATGGCGACGGATGATAGAGAAGTTATTAGGGCTTTGAGGAAGAAGTCCCGTCAGGAGTATTTGAAGAAAAGGGAGAAGGAGAAGCTTCAGCAGCTGGACGATTGGATTGTCGAGGGCTTGGAATTGAGTGAAGTGGAGAGGTTAATGTACAAACACAACAAAGAAATTCTCGAGGCCAACAAGAAGTTCTCTGAATACGTCGGCGGTAGTGACGGCGGGGAGTATCGGTTTCCGGAAGCCTACGATGGCGACGGTCTAATTGATCAACGGAGGAGATTTGGCGCCGCGTCCAAGCGCGACACTGGAGGATTCGAGAAATTAGAGTCGTGGGAAGATCATCAGTTACAGAAAGCTACGGTGAAATTCGGGTCGAAGAACAGAAAAAGGGAAGCCGATGATTATCAGCTTCTATTCGATGATAGCCTGTATAAGCTTGAAGGTCAGCTACTACCAGGTAAGTCTCTAGACGATGAGATTACACAGAAACTCGATTATGTTTCGAAGAAGCACATTGGAGATGGCCGAAAAAGCCTCCCCATATACCAATTCAAGGACAAATTGCTTCAGATGATTCGCGATAATCAGGTTTTAGTGATAGTTGGGGAGACTGGTTCAGGCAAAACAACTCAGGTCCCTCAGTATCTCCACGAGGCAGGCTACACGAAGCAGGGCAAAATCATCTGCACCCAGCCGAGACGGGTGGCAGCCATGAGCGTGGCAGCTAGAGTTGCGGTCGAAATGGGGGTGAAGCTCGGGCATGAAGTCGGGTTCAAGATCAGGTTCGAGGATTGCACTTCGGAGAAGACGGTTGTCGAGTACATGACTGATGGAATGCTCCTGAGGGAGTTCAGCTCTCAACCGGATTTGAAGAACTGCAGTGTGATCATGGTGGATGAAGCACACGAGAGGACCGTCTCCACCGACATAATCTTCAGCTTGGTGAAGGATTTGGCGAGGCAGAGAAGCGATTTGAAGCTGCTGATCAGCAGTGCAACTCTGGATGCCGAGAAGTTCTCCGATTACTTCGACTGTGCACCCATTTTGGAGATTCCAGGAAGGCAGTACCCTGTGGATATCTTGTACAAGCAACCTGTGGACGAGATTTTGGAAGAAGCAGTTGCTGCTACGCTTCACATCCATGTCACACAGCAACCAGGCGACATTTTGGTGTTCCTTACTGGACAAGAAGATATCGAGACTGTGGAAGAAATGTTGAGAGAGAAGGTGAAGCATTATGGAAGCAAGATGGGAGAGCTTATCATCCATCCATTGTTTGCCAACCTGCCTACTGAGCTCCAAGCAAGGATCTTTGATCCGATCCCTGAGAAAGCTCGAAAGGTGATCTTGGCAACGAATATAGCCGAAACTTCCCTCACAATTGAAGGGATAAGGTACGTTATAGATTCTGGTCTTTGTAAGTTGAGTTCGTATAGTCCCCGCACTGATATGGGGTCGCTGCAGGTGACGGATATTTCAAAAGCATCAGCTATGCAACGAGCTGGGCGTGCTGGTCGAACTGGGCCTGGGAAATGCATTAGGCTGTATGCTCCTGATCATTTCCAGAATCAGATGGAGGACAATTGTGTTCCTGAGATACAGAGGTCCGACATTGTCAGCGTGGTGCTGACATTGAAGGCACTTGGGATTAACGATTTCAAGAATTTTGATTTCATGGATCCTCCATCAGATGAGAGCATGATCAAGGCTCTTGAGCTACTTTACGCCCTTGGTGCTCTAAACAGCAAAGGTGATCTCACTAGGATTGGCAAGTTGATGGCAGAGTTTCCACTCGATCCAAAGCTTTCGAGGATGCTGATTGCTGCTGAGAAGTATGGTTGTGCGGAAGAGGTTATGACGATTGCTGCCATGCTTTCTGTCGATAATGCGATTTTCTACAGTCCCAAGAATCTGCAGGCAATGGCTGAGAATGCGAAGAAGAGGTTCGAGGATGGTGACGTTGGAGATCATATTGCTCTTCTTAGGGTGTATAATTCGTGGAAGGAGACAGACTTTTCAAGTGGGTGGTGCCGTGAGAATTTCATCCAGGCGAGGAGCATGAAACGTGCAAGAGACGTTAGAGATCAGTTGATGAACCTCATGGAGAAGGCAGGTATCGAGTTGAACTCGAATCCGAATGACTTGGACGCGATAAAGAAGGCGATCATGTCTGGTTTTTTCCCTCACATAGGGATTCTCCAAGGTTCTGGGAGTTACAGGATTCTGAAAGGTTTACAGAATGTGCAGATTCATCCCAAGTCCGGAATGGCGAGAGTGCAGCCGAATCCAAGGTGGGTTGTGTTTCATGAGCTCGTGCTAACTCGGAAGGAGTATATGCGGCACGTTTCTGAAGTGAAGCCCAAGTGGTTGCTGGAGATTGCTCCACATTACTATGAGAGGAAGGAATTGGAGAAGTTTTTCCCTCGGCTGCTCTAAAGTGAAGTTGGTACCAAAAGTGGTTTGAATTCGTCGGTTGTTTGACTTCCGTTTGCCATTTTATGTTTTCCCATTGGTTTTGAAGCATATACAGTATGACGATGTTTATGACTATTTTTCATTCCGCTGCAGCTTTCAGACATGCTTGACAAGGTTTATGATATCTACTCCTGTTCAATGTTCATTGCGTATTATGATTCGTATTCATTTTGCGTATTAGTGATCTAAGGTTTGTGCATTATGTATGTAGTGAAATGTCGTTCGGAGATCCAACCAACTTTAATGAAAGCTAAGGTTGAAGGACATTTCTTGGCGTTACAGAAGCCATTGCCTAAATCAAAGAGGAGGTTTGCATTTTGCAGCTAAGTCAAATCCCTGCTAAGGAAAAAAGAGCACTTTGTCACAGAAGTTCAAGTTCTTGAGAAAGGGGGGTCTAACTTCTAAGGGAAGACGGGCAGGTAGGAGGCAAGCCCAGCATTTTCTGGTAAACCCATCATTATGTTCAGATTCTGTATAGCTTGACCAGAAGCTCCTTTCACCAAATTGTCGATCTGCAGCAGCACCAAGCGATTCGGGGGTTAAAATAGCAGCAGGGTCAGGCCTAGCGTCGTACTGAGAAACTTCGGAAATGTATGAAAAGAGTGAGAGTGAAGGAGTGAGACTGATGATACATACAACTGATATAATGATTGCTCTGTTAGGGATTCGATCAGGGAACACATTCATGTAACAGTAGTTAGAACCGCGGACATCGTGAGTTCGAGGAACCACTCCTTTCTCTAGAACTCTCACAAATTCTTCCTTCTGCAAAACAAAGGAAGTAAGAACGGTTATCAGATTTGTAATGAAGTCATGTACAATCACAACGGAGAACATTACGGATACCTCGTACGACAACTTCAATTGCTCGTATAACTCATCGACAGTGGTGCCTGGAGCAATCTCAACATATATTGTAGTTTGCATTCCACGACTCTGTAAAAGTTCAGGGAAGTTGTTTAACATTCTTTTCTTGTGAAGAATAGTGTGCTTAGTTGAAGTAATAAATTTAGAACAGTTTGTTACCATTGGCATCAAGTGTGGGGTGAAACTGACTGTTACTTTAACCCCAGCAGCCTCAGACAAACCCTGTTCAATTTCCGGAACTACAGGCAAGGTAGAAGAAAATTAAATGCTCAATCAGATAACAATTCAAGATTCATTCAGTAAGCATGAATAAGTAGCTAAGCAACTTATTGATATCATGGATGAGGTTTTACTTCGATCTCATAACATGCTCTAGTATATGGAGCATAATTTTAAATCTCCATTTTCGGGCCTAGAGACTTACCATGTCGATGTTTTGTAACACCATAAGACATTATGCCTTCAGATAATTCTGTGTAGAGGTTACTCACTTTGGCACCACGTCCTGAGAAAACGTACCATAGCAAATCAGTTACTAAAGAGACCATGCACGCTGCAAGATTAGAAGCGGAAATACACGTCAAGATAAGAAAATTTTAAACCTGCCCCACTGACTCCAGATTTTGCGTCGATGATGATATTCTGATCTCGGATGAGTTTAGCCTACAGCAATCAAAGAACTGATTAGAGCTTGGTCGGAAATGAATATACAAACATGATAGCTTTGACCCAATCATCAAAAATGAAAATAATTGGCTCTCCTCGCAGTCAATTTTCATTTTTTATTTTATTCTATGTGGACATAAGAACACAAACCTTGATCAAAGGTACAAGAGGAAGCTGAATTGATGTTGGATAACACCCTGGATTAGCAACCAATCGTGCAGCTTTTATTTGTTCTCTGAACATTTCTGTCAAACCGTATACAGCTTCTTCCTACATTCAGGTCAAGAACACATCAGCAAGTCATTTATACAATTAAGAGAAAGTACAATTTCCTTATCGAGGGTACGAATAGAACTTCGAACTGAACATTAATCTTTTGATTCAGCTGCATAATAACTTCTTCTTCGAACAATAGAATTTGTTATTTAGTATATCGTCATTCGACAAGGATAACTCAATTAGAATCCCTTTAATGTTTCAGACAGTACACACACCAGAATATGTTAAAGTCACATAGATCGCGGACAGGAAGAAGGAGCACCTCCCTCTCATATGACTTGTGCAAAAAATGGATCGTACCTGCAAATCTGGTGCTTTATGTGCTTGGCCATACCATTGTTCATACTCCGAAATATCTCGCAGTCGAAAGTCCTGAAATTTATCAATAACAAATACTAAATTCACCAAGCAAGGACTTTATTGCCTTTGAACTGTAACATGAAAAGGAAAAACAACATTCCGAGTGCAACAAACCATACAGCAGAAAGATCAACAATTTTCAGTCCATGTGGAAGGCCTTTAATAATTTCCTGTAGCAGCAAATCAAAAGAAAGGACATTATGTGACTGAAGATAAGGTTCAATTTAACATTGGCCCCTTCCGTGGGAAGGACTCGTTTAGTGGATAAAATGACCTAAATGAAATAAAGATGTACCTGTGTAGTTCCATGAGGTAAACAACAAAATACAGCATCCACATCTGAAAAGTCTGCATCACTCGTGGAAATCAAAGTCGGCAAATCCTGCAAGGTTATCAGAACAAGTGTTAATTTCCCTTATCCTCATTCATAGTTACTCAGAATCAAGATATACTAGCACCTTTTGGGTAACCAAGTGAGGGAACACTGATTCAATTGATTTCCCAGCATTTCTATCAGCAGTCATCAGACCAATCCCGAAGGAAGGATGATTCGCAAGAAGTCGGATTATCTGCCCCACGGAAACAACAAAACAACGAAGCGAGTTTCGCTTGTCAGTAATTCTTACCAAACATAGACATATAGGAAAGAATTTGCTCCAATTTACAGCCAGCTCAACAGATTGGACACAAATTAAACCTAATATTTATTCCAACAGATAACCCTTCCAATTTACAACAAACCATCCTAAGTCTATCCAAAATGAGGAAAAAGAAACACAAACCTCAGCACCGGTATATCCACTAGCACCTAGAAGAGCTACACGGACTTCTTTCTCCAGCTTTGAACATGAAATACTCAACCCTTTTGGGGAAACTACCGAGTGCCTTTTCACATTGAGCTGGTAATCTCCATTAGGCTTGTTGGTCTTCCAAATTTTCCCATCTCCCTAACATTCATTTATACACAGAGAGAGGCACAATGTCAGATGTTTTAAGCATTCTGTCTTCAGTTCCTTCTAAACACCAAGTTAAGTTAGTCATATAAGTGGAAGAGCTGAATCCTTAAACGGTACAATTTTCAAAATGTACATTTGCCTCATTTCACTAGACAGAAAAGAAAATAGAAAGGGAATTCGTACAGGGACAACATTACTAACCTTCCACCGGCATCCTCTACTACAGGAAACAGAGTTGAAAGTAGCAGCACTCATATCCCCTAGCTCCAAATTCTGCCAAATAGCAAACACCCTTGAAACTGAACTTCACAAGGTTTAAGCAAAGATGATCTTTTAAAATCGCAGCTACCCTTAAGGTACTGAGCTTCCAAGACTGTAGAGCTCGGGATTGCTTCCAAGAAAACAGCTCAGTAAAGGAAAAGTTGTTTTGTTTGTCAATAGAATTGGGAGAGCATTAATACATGGAGTTGGATTGGTCAGTCTACTGTCTACGTTACACGCATTTGTTATCACTGTCAAGCTAAGCAAATTTATAAGAACACAAGCTTTTTCCTTCCATAAAAGTTTTCAACTTTAACTCAAATTGTCATCCTAATCGTACTAGAAATTCACTGTCAAGCTAAGCAAATTTATAAGAACACAAGCTTTTTCCTTCCATAAAAGTTTTCAACTTTAACTCAAATTGTCATCCTAATTGTACTAGAAATTCATCTCCGGGAAATGGTCAGAATCGCATACACGATATACGGACATTTTGATTTTGAAAATGGGATAATTGCTGAAGATATGCCGGAGAGACATAGGCTGGCGAACTTCAGCTCGGAGAGACGAGGAGACAAGAAGAAACTTACGCCGGTGAGGAAAGAAACAAAGAGAGTAGCAGCCGCAGGGCGCCGGAGGAAGGAGGGGTGACGGAGCGCCGGAATTCGAAGGGGTCAGTCGCTGCGGGTAGCGAATGCAGCAGAGAGTATAGTCGCCGGAAGGGGCACGGGGACTACTAATCGGGACAGAGAGAGCTGTCTTCGGTGGTTAGGTGAAGCAGTTGTGGCGCGCCGCCAGCGGAGAGATTTTGCTGAGTAGGTCTTTGGTTTGTCACGCGCTTTTTTAATCGTTAACAAACCTGTAAGACCGGCCGGACCGGCGCGGGCTCTGACCGTTTGGAGGTTGGACCGCCAAGAACGGCCCGAGTCTGTTGCTGCCTAGGCACCGTAATTTATGCCCGACGGCAACTTTCAAGTCTCAGCACAGTCAGAGTCTCGGAGAAGTGATTTTGCTGGCGCTGGCTTTCCTGTCCTGCTTCTGCGATTTGCGGGATGGAGGGTTCAGAGGAGATGGTAGTAGCAGTGATCATGGTTGGAGGACCTACCATAGGTATTGGAATCTGAAATGAAGAACATCCCTTTTCTCTTGTTTCTTAGTTCAAAGAATCGAATTCTTAGTTGTTCAATCGAAATTCATAGTCAAGAGTATCAAATCTTGAATCTTTTTTGGGCGGTTCTCGTTTTTGGTAGGTACACGGTTTAGACCACTCTCATTCAACGTTCCAGAGCCACTCTTCCCCTTGGCTGGGCACCCTATGGTTCATCATCCCATTTCTGCTTGCAAAAGGGTAAATCAGGCTTCTTTCCCTTGTGCCCTCCTCTCGTGATGGAAATTGACTATCTGGGTTCTCATTGCTGTTGGTTTTTAGATTAGGAACTTGGCTCGAATTCTGCTTATTGGATACTATGAGGAGAAGGAATTCACTCTGTATGTTTCTTCCATCTCCAATGAACTCCAAGTTCCAGTGAGGTAAAGCCTATAAGCTCCCTTCTTGTGTTCCCAAGTTGTAGCATTGTGAAAAGTAAAATGTGGATCTCTTCTTATGTCCTTTTGCTTATTGGGTTTTGATTCATTTCATCATTCCAGGTACTTGAAAGAAGACAAGCCACATGGTTCAGCTGGGGGTCTTTATTACTTTAGAGACATTATCATGGAAGATAATCCGGTTTGAGTGCTTTCATTAGTTCACCTCTCTTCTTCTCTAATGTGAATGTAAAGCATTTACTGATCTCTAATAGTGGATTTTTGCATCTGTATATCTGCTTTGTTTGACAGTCGCATATCTTTCTCCTGAATTGTGATGTTTGCTGCAGCTTTCCATTGCCAGACATGCTTGGTAAGTTCTATTTATTCCTGTGATCCTGTCATTTTTGTTATTCTCAACAGTTAGCTAACTGCTTCTTCATTTCCATTTACTGAGAAGCTTGATCCCTTTAGTATAGTATTCTTTCAGTAATCCTTCCTTTCCAATTTTTGGAAATTTCCAGAGGCTCAAAGAAAATATGGTGGGATGGGAACGCTACTTGTGATCAAGGTTTCTGCTGAATCAGCAAATCAATTTGGTGAACTTGTTGCAGATCCGAATACGAAAGAGCTGTTGCATTATACAGAGAAACCTGAGACATTTGTATGTGCTTGCTGTAGTTTGCATTCTGCACAGTGTTTTGTTTCTTGGTTGAGTTAATTTTCCTATACCATCTGAATGCAGGTCAGCGATCTGATAAACTGTGGTGTCTATGTGTTTACACCGGATATCTTTACTGCGATTGAAAGTGTGTTCGCAAACCGAGAAGACAGAGGTGATTTTGATAGTGATTAGATATTGGATTCATTGTTTAGCTTGGTAGGTGATTTTGAACGTTTACAGCTCCTAACTGTTGACCTGCAATGTTGTTAATGACAGCCAATCCCCTCCGTGACACCAGCTTTGAGTCGTTATACTCTTCCACAAGGTTGGTTATCTTATCATCAGCTTCATCCTTATTGTAACTTGCAAGGAACAAATGCTCATTGCTTTTGCTTTTGAATCTGACATCTACAAATGATTATCAGAACCAGCGTTCCAAAGGGCTTTGTAAGGTTGGATCAAGATATTTTGTCTCCCCTTGCTGGAAAGAAACAATTGTATACATATGAAACAACTGATTTCTGGGAACAAATAAAAGCTCCTGGGTAAGGGTAATCATAGACTTGATCATTCATTCTAGCCCTTTGGGGCTTGGACCTAGCGTTACAGGTTTCTGATTGTAGTCTAAAATGTTGCAGGATTTCCTTGAAATGTTCGGCATTGTATCTCGCTCGATTTCGTGCAACAGCTCCGGGTCTTTTGGCTAGTGGAGACGGGACAAAGAAGGCCAAAACTGTAGGCGAAGTCTATGTTCATCCATCTGCAAAAGTGCATCCTACAGCAAAGGTACCGTTGTGCATATCCATTATTTCTGAGTAAAATCTAGTGAGGTACTAAATTAACTTCTCTTGGTTGCAACTGCTCTGGATTGCTTATTCGTACAAATTCTCTTGCTTAAATCTTCTTCAGTTAGTCACAGGATTAACATCTCATTTGTTGGGTTGGTCGTTTGTATAGATTGGTCCAAATGTCTCTATTTCAGCAAATGTTCGAGTAGGAGCAGGAGTACGGCTGATAAATTCGATAATCTTGGATGATGTTGAGCTTAAGGTACCGTTTCTGAAACCATGAATGCTTGATTAACACACGAAACTCTTAATCGAACAGATGACTTAACTATAAGTGGTGTACACACAATCTAACAGGAAAATGCAGTTGTCATTAATTCTATTGTGGGCTGGAAATCGTCTTTGGGAAGATGGGCAAGAGTTCAGGGTGATGGAAATTATAATTCGAAGCTTGGAATATCACTCCTTGGTACTCTCTCTGCTTGGTCTCCCTTCTTTGTCTATTTTCTTTTGATGGATGAATCAAGTTCGACATACATGTGATGATACTTTCGATATTGCAGGAGAAGCTGTGACTGTGGAAGATGAAGTAGTGGTGACGAGCTGCATAGTTCTTCCAAACAAGGCGATTAATGTCAGTGTCCAAGAGGAGATCATCTTGTAAAACAGACAGTAGCAGCTGATTCGGGTTATGGTTTCTACTTTGGCTCACTCTTGAAAGGCTAATGGTGGATCTTGTTGACGCAATCTTTCAGCTATGTCCGGTGGCGGAGCCAGGAAATTGGCCAAGGGGGTGTCTTTATCATATCATAAAAAATCACCTATACAATAGAAAAGTCAACTTTAAATTAAACAAAAAGTCAACAACGCAATACTCTAAACTCACACAATTACATTAAAATAGTTTCACGTACACCGGTTACAACGTCAAACAAATAAGTTCAGTACATACAAATCAAGACTTCCATTCATCAAATATTACAAATTAGAACTCAGAAGTACTTTGGAATTGATTTTGTGAACAAACAAGTGAACTTCAATTGGTACTTCTTCAATTTCAACTTTGTTTAAACAAAAGACAAGAAATTTCTCTGTTGTAGAGCTACAAAAAAAAAAGAGCGACTTTAAACAAAAGACAACCATTTATTACTATAAATTAAGACGAAAGTGCATTACATAACAAAACTCACTCGATCAAAATGATAAGAAATTCTTCCTGCAACTGAATGGTCATTGGTTCGAATTTTGTATATACCCCTACTCGGAAATTTTTTCTCCAAACCCAAGGGGGGTGCAAAGCACCCCCTCCTCTCCAAGTGGCTCCGCCACTGGCTATGTCGTGGACCGAAACTATATATAAGAGGTTAAAAGGCTTAACTATCCCTTTCCCAACAACTCGAGTTATTGGGACCAAGTGGTTAGTTCGCTAATATGGTATCAGAGCCTAGAACCGAAAGGTCATGGTTTCGAATCCTCATAACGACTCCCATTTCATGTCAATTCGTTTAGCACAAGGAAAGTTATGTCCAACCTGTGCAAACTAAAGCCTCGTGGTTTGGCAGCACAAGGGTTCAACCTGTGCAAACAGTAAAGATCCACAATTCGGCATCGGCTTTCGTTTGAGGGGGCGTATAAGAGGTTAAAAGGCTTAACTATCCCTTTCCCAACAACTCGAGTTATTGGGACCAAGTGGTTAGTTCGCTAACACTATAGATTGAAAACAGAAAACCCTTTTCTTGACTCGTGTTTTCTCTTGTTGGGATGAGGAGTGATTCATTACATTATGATCTTTAAAGATACAGAACAGCAAACAGAGGCAGAAGGTTTGATGCTCCGGGTAAAATCATTAGTCGTTTAACTTAAGTTAGCCACTAACTATTGTTTAGTCGCTAGGTTACGATTGGGGTATTAATTTGGTTTCAGTTTTCCCGTCTTGTATCAGTTACAAAGTAGCATAACAGTCCTTTCTTAGTCTACAAGTATCATCTTAGACCAAGTACAGTGACTGATTTTGTTAGTAATCTTAAAGTGATGAAAAGGAGAAAGGTTCACCTTGCTAAAGCAAATCTCGAGCTAAAATTTCCTCGCAAAATCATCTCAATGTATGCATGAATTTTCGTAAGAACTCGGAGTTCAAAGTCTATCCTAATGTACAAGAAGAGGAACGATATGCGAGGGAGAAAGCAAAGGGAATTCATAACCTGCCCTATTAAGCACACAAAACTGGTAACCTATAGTTCTGGAAGGGAGACACACAAAGTACAAGTTAGGTCTCCCCAAATTGATACCTCAAAATTTTCTTCGAGCTATTGTGTACAAACGAGAGAAAAGGAGTACTATTTTCCCCTTCCTCACAAGAGAGAATCAATCCTGATCATTCAACCTCCAATCTAACTTGACGGGCTGCTTTCATGTACATCGCGTCCTTCCGAGAAAATGAGACATACTTACCCTTCACCATACAGCACCTGTCGCTCGCTTGCCTGTGACGTTGGAGTATACAGGAGGCCTCTGAAGCTCTTGATGATCATGTTCGGAAATGGTGCACTGAAAGAACAGTTATACTCAGGACATCCTTTTCTTGCTCTACAGGTTGGGCCGCAACTCTAACTTGTAAGCTTGAATCTCCATAGGTGAGATGGCAACACGACCATCCCGAGTAACCTGTCCAGCCTGATCACTATACCCGAGCATCTCGACATCATCATGAAGGAGATTCAAAGATGTCGCTTCAGCCTTTGACACTGAGAACCCCTCGAAGATGTTGAAAAGATTGACCGGTTCATCGGCCATCCTCGTGCACTGCAACGACCCGCCTCTGCGGCAGTAGGAATCATCCCAATGCCACCTCTGAAAGATCAGAATGAACCTCGGATCTCTGACAGGCCTTGGATCTCCGCCGAGTTCATGGGAAAACAATGCTGGCCGTGCAACTTTGAAGTTCACAATGTGTAAGTCGCATGGCAGTGAAGCAGATAGAGGAGAGAATGATCTGCCGTGCGTCTGAAGAGATAATTCCTCTGATCCCTTGGAGATGAAGGCAAATAAGGGGTAGTTCAAGTGTGAATTAATGCGGTGTGATAGAAGAGATGGGCTCAAAGGAAGCGGGTTGCTGACTGGGTTTGATGTGGTTGAAACATTGGACTCGAAGAGCAAGTGAAATACAACATTCATTGGCCGGTTATCTGTCACCCCCTGCCCGAGCCCACGGCCATCATCTCGCAACAACCGACGGTCAAGCATAATCTCCAACCATCCGTCTTTAAGACCTGCCACACCTAGAGACTGTCTGGAATGAACGGAGAATCTGTGACCCTTGGATCCTTGAATGAAGGCAAGCGAGGGCATGGGATAGTAGTTTCCTTGCAGTGGAATCTTGTCATAAGTTTCCCTGCGGCTCATCTGAAACCCATTCAAGTCCGAGTAGAATACCTTCCCATTATCAATATCCGTTTTGTACCGGACAATCAATTCGCGGTCATTGAACTCGTCGCCAAGAAGCTCAACATGATACTCAGTCTCTACGGCGAACTCTTGTACAGTATCACCACCTCCGTTGTAGACACGTGTACTGTGGGAGACGGGATGCCGATGATACGCTGTGTATGGGTACGAGAAAAGCTCCTGCATTAGTGGGCCTTCGGTAATGACTGTAATCCCACCGTTCTGAATGATGGATTGAGCATCTCCGATGGGTCTAAATAAGTAGGCCCCACTGCCGTAGCTAGTGTACATTGCTATTTCTTCTCCAACTAAATAGGTGGAGCCGTTCTTATGTTGTACCTTCTGCAGCAACCCATGCTTGACGTCGAAGGTGAGAACTTGTTTTCGGTTTTGGATTTCAGCAAACTCAGCTTCCGTCTTCGAACAAGCATACGGTGAGGGGCAAGAGAAGGAACTAGAAGAAGTAGAATAGTACTTGAGTTTTGCTGGTCGAGCTTTTTCACATCCCACGAAGCCATTAGCGATGTAGTATGTTTCGAGTCCCATTGCTGGAACAGAAGCTTTCCAGTGAAGACGGTGGCGCCCACTGAACACATTACTTCCATCATGCCGCATCTCAGGAGAGACTTGACTTGGAACACAAGTCCAGTTGGAGTCCAGAACGGTGACTTCTGGTCTATTCACAACAACCATCACAACCTCTTCTCTTGTTTGCTCCGTGGGGTTAAAGAGAACCACCGACTGGGCAGTTCCCTCGCGAGGACTCAAGGATTTACGCACTGGTTGAGCATTGTACTTGGCCCTCACTTGTTCTGATTCAAACTTAGCCGGATTCTGATCAAGCTTCTCAATGTGCATTCCGAGAAGCACTTCAATAGCTTTCGACATGAAAATCTGCAGGTCTTGTAAAGAGGTATGCATCCGTGTTCCATAGTCATGAACGACATGATCCCTAGCTGTACCGGTTACCCCATCGTGATGTTGAAACAGAGCTAAGTTCCTTCTGGCAGCTGTCAACTTGTAGCTAAACCCTGTGACCAACTTGTCACACTGCTGTCTTTGACAATGACCGACAAACAAAGCCACCATCATTTCAGTAGCGCGTAATGTTTGCTCTAGAACACGATCAACAGCCTTGAAGAAAGGCCGTGAAACATAGTAGCCACTCCAGTAATCCTTCTCCCTATCAGCATAAGTAAAGAAGTCACCTGATAGAGAAGGAAACCCTCCAACTTGACTAGATCCAACTTCCCCAGGAAGTGAGTAGTTGATTCTGTCGGACTCATCTCGAAGAGTTTGGAAGTAATCCTCCAGAGTACCAAATTTTGCCTCAGCATTCAGACTAGGGCTGGAGTTGATGTGGTCGAACAACATTTGGTAATTACGAAATTGGGCCTCTGCTTCTTCATTGCTTATGTATCGGAAATCATCACCAAGAGGAATCAGCAGAGTATTGGTTCTGTATAATACTGACTTCTTCCTGTATTGATCTAGCAGCAATGTAGCCCTTTCGTGCACGTTTTCTGGAGTGGTCTCTTCTGGATTCTGGAGCCATGGGCATAACTCATAGAAAAAGCCGTGGACTCGGGCAAAGTCAAACTGACAACAGATTGCAGGTTCAGGGCCACAAGTATGCGGGATATCATAAGAGTAGAAAGGCATCATATGCACAAAGATATCAGTTGTTTCGCTTGCATCCCAGCTCTGTCGCCATACAAACTCTAGATTTTTGTGCAGAGCAAGTTCCTTCTTGAGCTCATAATGGGTCCTCTGAATCAACATATTCTCAAACCCCATACGACGAAGGAGATATGCCATAGTAGACGAGTATCCAAAGGGATCAATTGCCCAAGAATTCTTAGGAATAACACCAATAGTATCATTCAACCACATATTTCCTTCAGTAATCTGTTGCAACAAATTCAAGGAGCTAATCAGTTAATATACTTTCATATCATTCAAGCATAAGGTATGAACACAATCCTGATTTGCAAACATCTGCACGATAACACCGATTTTTTTTATGAATACAAAATACATATGAAGCAGATATTGATGTACCAGAACATTTTCATGCACAAAAGTATAAGTATACCAATGACAATCCAGACTGAAAAAGAACACCAACAGCTATCGAGCATCACAGCAACCACTTAGTGGAATACAAACAAACAAAGTCCAAAGTCATGCACCAGCAGAAACATAAAGGAAATTAGTCATATCAAAGCACTGTATCTTTCTGGAAAATTAATGCAAGAGTCAGTACAGGTTGATTCTTATGACCAGCTAACATCACTTTATTTAACTTACGAGGAAAGAACAGCAGTAAGTTGACCATTGCTAAGATGAGGAATGGGAAAGGGATTCAAGAAAGCATTGTAGGGTTCTCTATGAAAGAAACATTCACTGGTGCTTATTGTTGAACCTATAATGCTACTCCTTTTAACGATGCAAAAAATAAAACTAAAGAGCAAGTACCAAATGCATTGCTGCACGAAATATAAACTCAAAGTTCATTTCTTAACCCATACGCAGAAGTATCTCAAGGTAACATGGGGCATTAGCACATACCTGCTCAATTATTGAGAAGAAATGGGAATTCGCCTGCGTCACACAAAGAAGCCAAATACCCATTATCAAGAAAGGGAAACAATCACCTTACTTGCTGGAAAAAAAAAGTGAAGAGGGATGTCAATCCCCAGTTATTTCAATCATGTACCTCATCATTCATCACCCAACCGCCCCCTACAATTTCTAACTGGCCATTCTTAACCAGTTCGGTCAAAGTTGCTCTTTTTTCCTCTGATGAATCTCTCCACCATTTCTCCAGATAAGACATCTCTTCCCATATGAACTTCCTCCGAGGGTCCTACAAGTCCCAACCCAAATCAATCCAATAACAAAATGATTCAGAATTACTCACCCAAACACAAACTCATCATAAACAGCAAAGAGAAACAAAGCTAATTACAAGAAACGCCCAATATACATATAGGTTTAGGTCACCAACAATGCACTTCACCTCCATAAGGTGAACACCAGAAATTGTCATGCATTTGGCACCTGTTTAACTACCATAGTCAAGTGAACCCTCAAGCTGTCTAAAGTCCCCTTGCCAGAAACTAGTTTCTCACACGTAAACAGCACTTAAATAACCTCCACCTAACGTAGCAGTTTCAGAAGATCTAATGCTCCTCAAAGTGAGCCAATAATTGGATACCAAGAGAACAATAAGGGGGAAATCAAAATGATCACCTTCGAAAGTGTGTCAACAATGGTGTCGAGTATATGCCTGGACTGCTTCTCGTAATACTCATCCACAGTGAGCTTCCAACCAGGATCATTATGCGAATGAGGCACCACGAAAACCTTCAATTTCTCATTATCCCACTCATCCCCTTTATAGCTCACTCTCCACCCTTGCTTCCAGGGCCCGCCGTCCTTATCCTCGAATTCGATCTTATCGTACAAAGCTTTGGTAGTCAAATCCACAGTAGCACCTTTACTCACATCGTTCTCAACCGGCTTCCTCCTGACGCCGCCGCCCGTCGCCTTCCGCTGCTGCCGGACGGGACTCGCCCGCGATTTGAACGTCGTGGAGAAGAGGGGCTTGGGGAGGCCGAAGTGGACGATGGTGAAGAAAAGGAAGAGGAGCGAGATCGAGAGCGAGATTGTGAAGAAGTTGGTGAAGAGGAAGTTGATCACAACCCCGCGCTTTCTAGGTTTTCTCGATGGCAGCTTCGACTTGGCTGGAGAAGCAGAAGACGCAGAGGTCGGTAGAATCGACGGCGACTGGGGCCGGCCTCCGCTCCCTCCTCCCCGGCGAGAACCAATGTAAGAAGACAACGGCATGTCTGTGTAAAAAATCTCACTCCGGGAAACAGATGGGAGGAGGAGAGCAACAGAGATCTGAGTAATGGAGTGTCTGCCGGTGGATTAATGATCTAGGGGTGGTGTTCATCCATGGAGGATTAGACGGTGAAAAGTCCGAAGGGAAAGTGTCGGACGTCCGAGTCTTCTAAGTCAAGCGCTGCGGACGACAATCGCCATTGGTGAATTTTCTGTGACTGGCAATGGCTGAAGAACGAAAAAGTCTGATGGGAATTATAATTAACGGTTTTTTTTTTTCCATAGATAGATCGTAATAGACAGGGTATTACAAAGCAGAGGAAATAAAAGAACGGTAGTCGACCAACTGGGTCGCTACCGATGCAAGGGCCGTTTGTGCCACGCGATGGGCAGCCCTGTGTAATGAACTAATTACTAATTAGCAAATTAATTATAAATTTAATACTATAAACCGTCATTATCTATGTATACTGTTTTCTTTGAGAAAAGAAACCAGATTTACCCATTTTGGGTTGATTTTCCAAGCAGTTCTGAAGTCCTTTTCTATTGTTTGAAGTTCTAATTTCTAGTAGTACACTAGTACTTCATTTCCATATTGTGAAGGCAAAAACATGTTTAGTTACTTCATTTCCATATTGTGAAGGCAAAAACATGTTTAGTTATGTCAACAGAAATTATGATTTGTGATAGATATGATACCTTTTTGCATTGCATGTGAAAGAAAATTGCAATTATTAGTTAGAATTTAGACAAACGTAGAGGAGGGGATGATCTGTTCTTTTTATTCATTTCAGGAGTCAACTGGAAATGTTTTATTTTAAAAATGCATGCATTAAGATTATGTGATTTCTAATAATAATATTTTATTTTTACAACTAAAAATACATTGTTTGATAAATCATAAGGAGTTAGATTTTTGGCCAATGCTTCAGGACAATATGAAACCTATTATATTTAAAAAGTCACCCACCTATTTGTAATTTGTTGAAATAAATTATTTACAAAATAATTCGATTAAATTCCTTCCATAAGCTTTACGTAGTATATTAATTAATAATTATTAAGGAAGACTTCCATAGACTTATTAGTTAACAACACAAATAAAATAAAAAAAGACTATTTGTCTTCCTACGTGAGCATTCCCTATCAACAGAGCAATGCCGAGTGATCTAGCTTTGCATGCTAGTCAATTTGAACAAATAATTGAAAATGCATAACTTGTCTTTGCAGTAATCAGTTTGAACGTTTTAATTAACTTCTTAAACACCCCATAATTGTGATTTTAAATAGAAGAGATAATGAGAAATGAATGCCTTGAAGGAGACGTTTTCACTTTTCACCCTTTTCCCCATTCAAAACCCAGCAACGATGTGCTTGAAGCAAAGAACCAACCAACGTCTCTTCCTCTAGCTAGCTTCTTCTTCATCGTCTGACGTCTATCCTAGCTTTACTGTAGCCTCTAAATTCCTCCTTCCCCTGTGATTCTCAAGCTGAGTGTATCCAAAGGTCGAAAAAATGGCTAATGACAACAAGAAGCCAGAGCAGTTACAACCACATCCGGTGAAGGAACAACTACTAGGAGTCCAATACTGCATCAACAGCCCTCCTCATGGCGTATGCATCTACCCCTCCCTTTTCCTTTCTTGTTTCCCAAGTTTCCTTAATCCAAATTGTCCAAACTGTGTGTATATGTTGACAATCTTGATATAACTTGCAGCTGAAGCAATTGTGCTTGCATTCCAGCACTATCTTCTCACACTTGGCATCACTGTCCTGATACCCACCATGATTGTTCCTCAAATGGGCGGCGGGAATGTAACTCTCTCCCAGTAATCATCTTTCTTCCTCATTTGATGTCAATGAGGGACTGACGCTGTTTTTTCTTTTGTGTGCAATGTAGTTTGAGAAGGTGAGAGTGATACAGACATTGCTGTACATATCATGAGTGACCACTCTCTTGGAAACACTATTCGGTACCCGGCTTCCATCCATTGCATCTGCTTCCTTTTCCTATGTCATACCAATCACCTCCATCGTCACTGCCGATCGATTCCAGTCCATTACAAACCCTCATGAGAGGTTTCTGCATACAATGAGAGCAATCCAGGGTTCTCTCATCATCACTGGCTGCTTCCAAGTAGTCATGGGGTTCTTGGGTCTTTGGAGAAACACTGCCAGGTTGGTGGCTTGCTTCCTTCCTTCCTTCCTCTCTTCTTTCCCCCTTGTAGAATTTGCTTCCATGTGTTTCTTTCTCATGGCTTGATTATCTTTATCACAGATTTCTCAGCCCACTTTCTATTACTCCATGTGTAACTTTTGCTGGGCTTGGACTCTATTATCTTGGTTTCCCTGCTGTAAGAAATTCTGAAATCTCTTTCCATGATATAATGCATGCAATATTGGGTCTGAATCTCTTTACATTTGTAGTTCATTCTTCACCTTCTAATTGTAGTTGGCAAGATGTGTGGAGATTGGGCTTCCACAAGTCATCATAATGGTGTTCATCACTCAGGTAGACTATAACTTGTTCCCATCTCAGTTCAATATTCCCATTGTTATCCGTCCTTCACCTTTACAAACCAATTTACTGCTTTCGTGACAATAAAATTTTGCAGTATCTTCCACACTATGTGAAGTCTAAGAGGCCACTCTGTGATCGATTCGGGTTGCTATTCTCGGTTCCTATAGTATGGCTGTTTGCTCAACTCTTGACATCAAGTGGAGTCTATGACCACAAATATGTTGTCACCCAGTTGAGTTGTCGCACGGATCGATCTGGATTCGTCTCTGCAGCTCCTTGATAACTACTCAAAACCAGCTATATTTTGTGTTTCTAGTAATGGTGTTTGACACTCTTCTTTGGCAGGGTCTTTATTCCTTCCCCATTTTAATGGGGAAGCCCCACATTTAAGGCCGGAGAAGCTTACGCCATGATGGCTGCTTCCTTTGTTCTGGCGCACCTCTGATAGTACTATCATGAGTGATTTGGTTGATGATGATTGAAAAATGATATATTTTATATTATGAGCGATGTATTTGATGAATTGTGTACTTTTTTTACGTACTTTGCATTTTGTTTATTTGATTTAGATTTATTGTAAGGTAATTTAGACTTTTTAGATGTAATTTGCATTTTTTTATTTCGATTTATCGTAAGGTAATTTAGACTTTTTAGATGTAATTTGCATTTTTTTTATTTTGATTTGGATTTATCGTAAGGTGATTTAGACTTTTTAGATGTAATTTTAATTTTCTGGAATTAGTTGGAATTTTTGTAATCAAACTTTTATTTTGTGAATTAGTTTAAATATTTTTTTATTTAATTTAGATTATTTTTGTTATGAACTCATTTAAATTTTCTAGTATATACATACAATTTTTTGAAATTTAAGTTGATATTAAATAATTAAGTGGGCTAATATTGTACAAAAAGAAGTTGTCCGACCCTATGGCGCGACCCGACCCAGCCCAACCCGACCCAACAGGGCCATACAGGGCTAGATGAGAATATGGTCGGGCCGGGTCGGGCCAAATATTTGTGGCAGGGTCAGGGCTGGGTTTGGCCTAGTTTCACCCCTAAATTGGTGACATATGAGTAAGAGTAACTATTAACTTCAACCCAGGGGCGGACCTAGGGCTAGGGAAGGGGTGTCGTCCGACACCCACCCGCCCGAAAATTTTGTGAATGACCTCTATTGTTTTGGTTTTAAAAAATGTAATTTGAGACTTTCGACACAGCTCTAATAATTATAAGCGACACATCTTCATTATACGATAAAGTTATTCATCATAATTAGTAATAAACAATAATATGTAAAATCAATAAGCATGCTTGTTTGAAGTAACCCAAAAACCAATTTAACTTGTCAATTTGTAGTTAATAAGTAAAATGCGTAGATTTATGGGACATTGTGGTTTGATTTTGGTTAATTTGGTAGAACTAGAAAAAAATGCTAATGATATTAATTTAGGCATACTTTGTTTTGTCTAAAATTGCAATTGGTAGATCGTGATTTACTATATTTGATTGTAAACTAATTTATTTTAACTTCGAGTTTAGATGTGAGTCGATTCTTTTTGGTTGAGTGACTAATTTATGAATAATTATTTAGTTGTGTATAGCGAAAAATGGTTGATTTGTAACATAAGCAACGAATGTCTTTTAAAAAAAATTAGAATATGAAAAATCTTCATAATTCGTAGTAAACATGACGCTGTCAACTTATAAATGAATTTCCAATGATTTTTTTTTAACTATTTTAATTTTTTATCGACGACACCCCTCTTCAACAATAATGTGTCCGCCACTGCTTCTACCCAAATCATTTGAAATCCTTACCTCATTGATTCGAATAAAAAATATAAACAATTTTCAACCTCATAAAAGTTGTCAAATCTATTAAAAAAGCATCTCTCACACTATCACAAGTCAAAGAAAATGGAAAGATAAACAAAAACTAAGTAAATTACCATGTTAAAGAACCTGCCCAAACAAGATAGAATGTCAAATATAATAATCTAAACACCTAACAACTTTCAAAATTTTATCAATTTCTTCAAACTATTGTTTGGGTTCAGCATCGCACATAGTAGAGCAAAACGTACGCCACAAAACATAAACAAAAGTTTGTCTTGGTACGTAAATGGGAAGAAACATTGGGATAGAAAAAGACAGTGTGAGCCTCTTTTCACACTAAGAACAACCAAAACAAATGTTGCACTCCTAATTAATTAAGGTGGCGATAGAAGACGTTGGTGAGAGGAGAGGCTCTTTTCACACCAAGAGTTGAGAGGCTTAGGATAGGGTGAGTAACCCTTTGTTACTCACCCGTGAGTAACCACCTAGGAACCGTTGATCTGGGGCGGACGGATCGTGTGGCTGTCATTGAAGCGGGATGGTCAGGGGCATTTTTGTCCGTTATTTGAATTAATGAGTTTCCCCCTTTTGTCCGTTGCGAATCTTTCTGTGCGCGAGTTGGATTCGGATTTTGGAGAGCAGCAACTGAGAAACAAGGACGGCGATTCTCCATGGTTGATCGACGGCGATAGAAACTGCGAGCAGCAGCTTCGAATCGAGCTTTCTGATTCTCCATAATTGATCGACGTGTGCGCGAGTTGGATTCGGATTTTGGAGAGAGAAACTGCGAGCAGGGGAGCAGCAGCTGAGAAACAAGGACGACAATTCTCCATGGTTGATCGACGGCGATAGAAACTACGAGCAGCAGCTTCGAATCGAGCTTTCTGATTCTCCATAATTGATCGACGTGTGCGCGAGTTGGATTCGGTTTTTGTAGAGAGAAACTGCGAGCAGCCGCTGCGAAACAGGGGACGGCGAATCTTTTCTGATTCTCCATAATTGATCGACGACGAGGTTAGATATTAGTTTTTTTTATTCTTCCTGTTTAGCTAATCGAGTTTTCTGTTGATCTCTGGTTTCGTTGGAGGTTTTTCATTGCTGCTAGTCGAGCTTGTTTATGTTTAGCTAATCGAGCTTGTTCATGTGTTATGTTCTTTGTGTTTTGGTGTTTTTGCAGTATTCTGGTGAGATGAGTTACGTAAATTGTGGCGATGTTGTTCCAATTGATAGATCTGGTTCTTCAACCAGCGTTGTAGGATCTGGTTCTTCATCTAGTGCTGTTGGAATTGCTTCTTCATCTATCGATCTTGGATTTGATCATTCAGCTAACTCTGGTGAATCAGGAGGTAAGATATACAAATTTGTTTGTTTATTGAAGTTTGTATAGTGTCGTAATTTGATTTTACCATGCCTTATCATGTGGTAATTGATTTTACAGTACATTACCATGTGGTAAAATATGGTAATTAGGAAGTTAAATGTGATGGTTCTGTGTGATAATTGATTTTACCATGCCATACCATATGGTATAGTGTGGTAATTTGATTTTACCATGCCTTATCATGTGGTAATTGATTTTACAGTACATTACCATGTGGTAAAATGTGGTAATTAGAAAGTTAAATGTGAGGATTCTGTGTGATAATTGATTTTACCATGCCATACCATATGGTATAGTGTGGTAGTTTGATTTTACCATGCCATACCATATGGTATAGTGTGGTAATTTGATTTTATCATGCCTTATCATGTGGTAATTGATTTTACAGAACATTACCATGTGATAAAATGTGGTAATTAGGAAGTTAAATGTGAGGGTTCTGTGTGATAATTGATTTTACCATGCCATACCATATGGTATAGTGTGGTAGTTTGATTTTACCATGCCATACCATATGGTATAGTGTGGTAATTTGATTTTACCGTGCCATACCATGTGGTATAGTGTTGTAGTTTGATTTTACCATGCCATACCATATGGTATAGTGTGGTAATTTGATTTTACCATGCCATACCATGGTGGTAACTCTTGTATCATGGCTGTAATTATTGGTATACATTGAGATTTCATACTGTTGTGGTGTGGAATCCATTTAATATGTTGTTTCATAATGTTTGTAGGTTGCAATGGTATAGATCCTACTGTTCGTGATTCTTGGAAGGACTTAGAGTTCAATACACCAGATGATGCATATAATTTTTATGTTGATTATGGGAATCATGAAGGTTTTGGTGTGAGGATTTATAACCAATCAGCGTGTCCGAAGCTCAATGGTGGTTCTTCAGCTGTATATTATATCAAGTATTGTTGCAATAAGGAAGTTTGGAAAAGAGGTAGCGAGAATAACCCTGATAATGCAGGTGTTGTTGATACGACAGTTCGTGTTCGTAATGTTCCAGAACTCAGGGGTGGATGTAATGGTGCTTATATACGACTGGGGTGGTTTAAAGAGTTTAAATGCTACAAGATCTATCGTTGGTATAATGTGCACAACCATGACATGATTCCTGAGTCTCTGCGTCACTAGGTGAGATCCAGCAGACGAATGGCTCCTGTGTATAAGATGTTGGCAGAGGTGAATGATGCTGCTGGTATTGGTGTGACTTCTTCGTATAATGCAATTAGTAGGGCTGGTGGTGGTCGGAAGTTTGTTGGGTTCACAAAGAATGATTTGAAGAACCATCTGCAAACGGTTAGGACGTTATCAATGGAGTATGGTGATGCGACTGCATTGCTTGAATACTTTAGACGTCAAGCACAGCTGGATCCTGGGTTCTTTCATGAGGTGGAGGTTGATGTTGAAGAGAACATTGCTAGTATTTTTTGGGCAGATGGGAAGATGAGGATGGATTATCATTATTTTGGTGATTCAATTAGTTTTGATACTACTTACCGGACTAACAAAGAGTATCGGCCACTAGGTATGTTTTCTAGTTTGTTGTTTATTATTGTCTTTGTTAGTTTGTATGATTATTATTATTATCATTATGTATCATGTTTTTTTTTGTTCTTACAAGTCTGTACCATATGGTATGGGTTGGTATGGATTGCTTTTTTGTTCTTAAAAGTATTTTACCATATGGTATGTGTTGGTAACAAGGTTATTTGAGGTGGTTTTTGGGTTGTTAGAAGTTTGTACTATATGGTATGGGCTGGTATGCATTGTGTTTTTGTTCTTAAAAGTCTTTTACCATATGGTATGGGTTGGTAACAAGGTTATTTGTGGTGGTTTTTGCGTTGTTGGAAGTGTGTACTATATGGTAGTCTGGTATGGATTGTTTTTTTTGTTCTTAGAAGTCTTTACCACATGGTATGAGTCTTTACCATATGGTATGGGTTGGTATTATTGTTATTCGTACCTTTTACCACATGGTATGTGTTGGTAGAATTGTTTTTACTCATATTTTGTTATGTTTTTGTAGCTTTGTTTGTTGGTTTCAACA